GGGACGAAGCTGCGGGTGCAGGGCTGCCACGGCGCCGTCCTCCGGAGCTTCTGTTAAGCAAGTTAGAGCACCAGCCACGAAGCTACTGGGGACGCACACAAACTAAACGGGTAAAGAAACACAAGGCTGGAAACCGAAACGACGTTTCCAGCCCCTCTGTGAGGCAGGTACTAATTACTGCCGCTTCCAGCTAGGCATTAGGCAAGGAGACTGCAATTTACTAAAGGACACCGAATTTTTCCTTTTATTAATTTGCAATATATTTGTAAAATAATCTTACGGCAGCTGGCTCTGCTTGAATCTGTTTCAAAAGTGTGATGTAAATACCGTCTCACACTATTCTGCAGCCTATTAGGGCTTGCTGGTAGGTGATACGACTGAGAGGAGAAAGAACACCACACATTTATTTTTAAGATCATCATCACTAGTGATAAAACTTATGGGAAGAAGCGATCATACTTCCTATTTGTATGCAGCAATGACAAACGTATGCAAAGTAACTCAAATGAAAAAGATGCAATTGCAGGGATACATATGCACACGCACAGTGGACACAGTTCAGGCATTTTTAAGAGTCATTTCAGCTACGTTTAAAAGCAGCAGCAAATTCCCAAGTTAAACCACACTATTTACTGCAGGGGAACCTACAAAACTTATTTTTTTCCACCTATTTCCTTTGTAAGAGCTTAAAATTTATCCACATCTTGCAAATAATCACATATTTGATTAAGCACATGCTTACTATGAAACGATAGCATAGATAACCTACCCTGGAATTTATTACATTTTGACTTTTCATCAACAAACTTCTGAGATTCTAACCTTCATTCAGAAGATAAACATTTCTGATGGGTCTCAAAGGAAAATGAAGGATAATAAGCAGCACACCTAAGCAAAGCATCCATCACCTGCAGACTCAGTGCACATCAGCTACAGCAGGCACCGACTTACACACGGTTTGTCCATGCGATACAACACCAAAATCCACCAGGCTGTGAATACAAGATGAAAGCTTTATTTAAACTGTATCATATTGTATCAGTGGATTATAATCCTCAAGCAAACAGAATATTGCAGTAATGACGATTTGAGCATTACAAATATGTTAAAACAGCTTGCATTTGGGGTGATATTTAAGGTCAAGTTGTATCTGAACACAACTATTAAAATATTATGAAACTTAGCATTATGGAGTAAGTAATGTTTTCTTTCAGACATAACCCTCTAAAACTGCATTCCATTTTTTTCCCCTTATTTTTCACTATCAGCAAGCTCAAAGTGAGCACCTATAACCCTGGCTGCACAACGTGAATGAAATAGAGAGGTGGAACTATCAGCTCTGCCCAGAGCCTGGCTCCCAACTTCTATGAAAACGTGACCTGCAGAAATATAACCGAAAGGAACCACAGCGACAAGTATCATGTATCCAAGCCCTTCTGTTATCTCATATACACCCTCAAATGAAACCAATAAGCTTGAGAAGGACTCAGTGGAATAAGAAACTTCCTATCCCTGGGAAAACTTACATGCTCTCTGCTACTGGCCCCACTGCCAGAACGGCTGAGACAATGAAATCCTTGGGAATGTGAGGATAGAGGTGACAAAATGGGTGAGCAGGCTGTGCTTCTAGGCTAGTCCTGTGCTTACTTTGTTTGTTACTTTGTTACTTTGCTCCTGCACAAACTCCCAAAATTGTTTCTTCTTATAAGATTCTTGATCATTAACTTACAAACAGGCAAAACCATTTGTTTTTTTCTCCTGCTTTTCTCTCCCTTGTGTTCTCTGACCCACCAGGAAAGCAGAAGAAGCAAGAAGCAGGACCACTGCAGCTTATGCATACATATGCTTTAGCACAAAGGGGCAAGCAGCACATCAAGAATGCAGAGTAACAGGTTACTTTCAGAGTAAAAAAAGCCCTTTACCCCAGAACGGATAAAAAGCCTGGGATGAGACAGTGGGATGACTACACTGAATTCATCTTCTTGAAGCATCGACATTGAGACAGAAGAATACTCATTCAAGATCTCATTTAATGCCAGTATTAAATCATGGCAGTATAGATCAATGCATAGTTTTTGTTTTGGTTTTTATCTAAATACATGTAAGCTATTACAGGAGTGCTTTCCCAAATGTGGATCTACCCAAAGGCAGGTGGCAAGCCAGCTCAGCCACACAGAAATGGCACCAGGTATAACAAGAGATACCATAACGTCGTGTGCTCTGCCACTGCTTGCCCCAAGCTCTGTGACACATCAGGACACACCTGCCTTCTACCCTAGCAGCCCTGCTATGTGCCTCCTTGCACCTATTGCTTTGCTGTTTAGCTCATACACGACTGCATTTCCACCTTCCAGACCACAGGCCAACAAAAAGGCCCCTGTCAGCCAGAGAAGATGCCTATACACATTCCTACTTTAAAAGTTTCCTCTCTATTTTTATTCTAATCAATTTTCTGGACCTGTTCCTATATAGCATTCTATCTGCTAGCTGTCCTGAAGCTGCAGCACAGAAAAAAATGTAATTTCCTTTTCTGAAAAGATGACAAATTTTAATCTTCACCTCTTAGCCTGATAAAAGAGGGGGAAAAAAAAAAATCAGAAAGACAGCATCCAAGTATCTAATGAAGTATCTAATAATACCTGACAGATCAAACTATGTTTGTTACCAAGGGAATTGCTTTTGTCTTTATTTTTACAGCAGTTAAACAACGGCACAGAGCCCTTTTCTCTCCGGCTGCTCTTGCCTCACAGCACACGCTGCCTTCCTTCCACCAGAAACCAAAAGCAGCAAGGAAATGGTGAGCATCTGCATTGTATCCCAGCGTTTAGGCGAAGTCCAAAGAGATAAAGACCCAGATTATTCACACGTATAAAGTACTTAGGGGCCCAGATTTTAGTTTAAGCGATTTCCCTTTCCATGCAAAGACCGGGATGAGCCCTAGCCTTTGTTAGCAATAGCTCGCCCACCCCTTTTGTGGGAGAGGGGCACTGCATGTAATTGCTTTTCCCTCCTGTATGTTCAACTGATTCCAATTATTTGCGTTTTTAAATTGGAGCTCAATGATTCGAAGATCCACACACATTCCCACCAAATCAGACTGAGAACCACGTTGCGATCTCACAGAAGAAAATATTACCAAGTTGTCTTTGTGACAGAACACTGAGTAGGTATAAAATTGCAATGGTCTCTCTGCCAGGTTTTTTTAAGCTCTCTGCTAGTAAGATGAAAGCCTAATTTGATATTTTTGTAGTTATATAACAGTTCTAATATTTTGTGACATTTTGTATTGTGACACTATAGATGAAATTGTCATCGGACTGACACCCTTTACTGTTTATTCCTTAATTACAACTGTTAACAACACTGCAGAGAAGCGTGCTAATCTGCCATCACATATTATGAAAACAACGTTATTGTTACAAACACCAACACCCACTCAACAGGATATTTCTAAGATGGCAGTTTCTGTAAAAACTTATCAGTTTAATGGACACTTTAAAAGAAAAAGTTTTAAATGAACTCCTAGCATTCCCACTGAAAATATACAACATCTTTAAAACTGAAGTTTTACTCTTTTTTTTTTTCTCCTGTGTGCAAATGATACTTTGGCTAATTGAAATCCAGACAAAACTGATTGCCTAATTTCAGGAAGGAGCACTCATGGATACTGGTCCTTCACGTTCAGCCAGGCTTCCTAGAGCTCCCAGCCAGAAGTCCATTCTCTAGTTCAGACTGAACTACAAACTCCCCACCAACAGCTCATCAACCTGTGAATATCTGAGCTATGTTTAATGGACAGAACACGTGTTCTTCAGTCCACAGGTCTGAGCCAATTCACGTATTTATCAATAATGCTGCTAGAAACTGAGTTTCAATAAAAGTACTTCCCTAGTCTAGCACAAAAAATATTTGTATCTCTAAGTAACACGGAGATGCATTGATCAGTTCATTAACAGATCAGCAAAAATTAGTAATTACAACTTTTCCAAATCCCCAGGCTCTGGCAGAAGTCAACTTCTTTTATTCCTGTTCCAGATCAGGGGCCGTTGTTGTCCCAGTCAGAAGAACATTGCAGCATATAAGATTAAATTTTAGCAATATATCGACTCCAGCCCAGGTTCTCCCTTCCTTTCTTTCTTTAAAGCATCCTTCACATAGGAAGGGTGAAATTTCTTCAGGCCAAGTCACAAATCTAGAAGTCTTTTCCAATGAACTCTGAAAGAAGATGTGGAGGAACAGCTCAGTGGCTGAGAAAGAATCTCTGCAGCTTCTATGTGCTTGGTTGTATGACAGCTGCTGCAGGCAACCTTCCTACTTGCTCCTATCAAACTCCTCATGCTTAAGTTAAAGACCTCACTTATAGGATGCCACCATAAAGAAAATAGCATTAAGCCTAGGAGCAGCAGAAAGTTCCTATGGATTTGTTTGTATTTTCTTGTCTTTACTCACACGTTAGATAGCACGAGGCTGGGAAAAGCAGCAGCAGTTAAAGGAGAGAGGTGCAGAAGCAATAGAAGTGGCAATGCCAAAAACAACAACAACAACAACCAGGGAAAGCAAGATATGCAAATTCAAGGTGTTCTCCCCACATCCGCTATCATGAATGTTTTCACACAGATCACTGCTGCTGAATCAGGACTGATGCAAAGTGCCTGCCCTTCCCACTAATGGCAAATTCTTCCTTTCTGCTTCATCCACAGACATCCATGCAACACAGATGAATACAGTATAGAAAGATTATGTATGAATATATCTTTAGTTATCACACTTACAGAGAAAAGCAGAGGATTGCAAATAACCTAATACTCTTCTTATATTGAAGCAGTGATCACCTTGGTGGGTGATTTGACTTTTGGTCCAAAAAGCCCCCTTCAGCAGCACTGCTTCTCTCATTGTGAGGAATTCTAGTCTAAGCTCTCCAAAAGCAGACGCCACCATTCAAACTGAAGTTTTACACGCAGAGACAACAGAAACAAATTATCCAGTACAGTTCATTTTCATCTCAAACAATTTACATTACCATTTAATGGCATAATATTACATTCTATAACATGGAAGATATTGTCTGCTCAAACCAGAGTTACAAAACAAAATCAGAGTATTTGTTTTTGTGAATCTTCTTCTGGGTAGCTTATGTTGTTCTGCTTTGTAGTTTTCAGTTTCTTAAAACCAATGGGATATTCTGCTCTTCCTAAAAGAAACTCTTCCCAACTGGGAAGTGAGTCTTTTACTGAAGCCCAATAGAGAGTCTGAGAAAGACATAAAAAAAAATAAAAATCAACTTTATTTCAAAATCTGCATCAGCATGTTTACAAACAATAGATATATGCAATGGATTTTCAAATCTTGCCTTATGAGTGAAGCAGTTCAGGAAAGAACAATGTACTTGCACACAAAGTTATCAATCTCTCATACGATGCAAAACACCAGACTGGAAGGATTTCATCTTGTGGCATGAACTGTGAAGTGACTGAATCTGCCCTCTTGTGGTAAGCACAGATTAATTCAGACCCTCAGCATACCTTCAATAAAATATTTTCTGTGATTCTCAGCCTCTCCAAAAGCAGCTTTTGTATTTAAATACATGCGTTAGTTGCATTTAAATTTGAAATTAAAAAAAAAAATAATCTGCTTAATGCTATAAACAGAAAGTGCTACGTAAGCTGCTTTCCTTAGAAAAGTTTGCAGCAATGCAGCTCAAACTATTTGAGTAAAATTTCAGCTGTGATAAATCAGTGACACAGTAATTGGCTCCAGGATTTGCGTCACGAAAGGAAAAGGCCATCTAGTTATCTCGTGGTCAGAAAACAACACCGGGTTATCTAACTCTGTGCGTTACTCAGTGCCTCTGACTAAGAAACCTGACTTCCATTCTACTGCTAGGACAGACATACTGACCGCATTTTGGTGCTAGCACTCAGGAGAACTGTGCTTCTTCTAGAACTTAGAAGAAGAAATTCTTAGTGACGCCTCTCCTTTTTTCTCCACAAGATAATGCGATCAAGAGCCAGATGAAACTTACACATCCAATTCTCCAAGGTACGTGGAGGTATTTTGAGATACCTATGTTCATTCAGTAAAAAGTAATTTTGTAGCAGAAAACATGTACGGTACCATATGCATTTTGTTTCCTCTACTTGTTTAAATATATAACGTTCACTTTATAGTACTCTTCTACATCTTTCTACAGAGTATTAGATTCCTGGCTAATCATCCTGATCCTTACATGTAACTCAGATATAACTACAGCTCTTGCAGATTTACAAAAATATTTTCTTCAACAGATTTACTCAAAGAATCTTTTTTGACAAGCATATGTGCTGTCACACAAAACTACTCTGACTTAGCAAGCTGGGGATCCATTACAGCCATAACTTTCAAAGTATATTAATACAGACACATATATGGCTGAGTGAAATATGCTCAGAAGTGTTTTGGAGCAGAGCACACACCAGAATTTTGTACCATGAAAAAGTTTTCTTTTTCTACTATTTATAGCACTCTTCTTTAGAAGTACAAAAAAGGCTGAAATAGGATCTTCTGCTTCAAATAGTAACATCGTTCTCTCAAAAATTCTACCACTATACCACTATGCTAAAGAGCACAAAGATCCCTGCCGCTATCAGCTCTGTGCTCTCAGTACATGTGGACTTCAGTCTACATCCCATAAGCAGCTTAAGCACCTAATACAGGACAAAGACAGAAGCTGAACTCCTAGTCCAAAACTGATCCAAACAACTCTTCAGGTGCCTTGAAGTCCTCTAAGAGTCTAAAACTCTACTTCTGAGCACAGTCAGACTGGGCTCAACCCAACAAGTACTTTGGCAGCCTTCTCAGAGTCATTCAAGATGTACAGGCATCCAGGAAGAACATTTGATTTTTCCTAAAAATTTCTTAAAACCCCACTAAAAGGGCATTCTGAGAATGTACCTTGTCACAGCCATGGGAGTCAGCCATTTATGAACTAGAAAGGCAGACAACATCTTTTAACAGTAACTAAAACAAGGAACGATGTTTCTCATTTAAGTAGCAGCCTAAGTATTACAACACTTGCCCAGCAGGTGTGAAATCAACATACAATACACCTCGCCATCAGATGAAAACACTACAGTTCATACCTTTCCTCTCCTTTGACAACACACAGAATCGTGTGGGACATGCTATGTTTGTGGAAAATAACTCACTGCATAATGATGAACCCACAAATCACTGGTGCAAGAAACACACGCAGGACTATGATTTGGTGTCCCCGTGGTTAGATGTTTAGTTTCTATCAGGAATAAGCTGTGTTCCTACTTCTGTTCCTAAGAGTGCTCCTGTCCTCCTCATTCATTCATCGCAGCGCAATACTGAGAAAACGGTCTTGAGATTAGAGAACTGAAACTGGTGTGCTTTATCAGAACAACATTTCGTTCTCAGAGTAGCAACTTCCTCAAAATTGCCATCTTTAAATAATGCTTCAGGGACTATGAGTGAGAAGAAAAATCCCAGGTTTAGCACTACTTTTCCTGGGATCCTGTACAACCTGATAAAATAACTGTGAGAAGTGAAACCTTCTCTGTTCAAGTTGATAAACTGTTGACTCTGAAATGTAAGGATGACAACCTGCAGCACACTGAAAACAGGATGTCTGTGTAAAACAAAGCAGCTCTGACATAACAGTCACAGTAGTCATTGTAAAAATTGAATTTTGTCAATATCATCCATTTTCATTTTTAAATGCAAGTATGTAAAGATCTGAAAGCTGCAAAACATTTCCACCAGAATGCTCTAGAATCTAGGGACCTTGCCCTAGAAGTTAGGCTCAGCTTGCTGCACAGCACACAGGCCTTTGGCTATACCAGTCACTGGATTTTAAAATCAATTATTTTCACTTTAAGAACACGCTTGGGGGGGGATGGGGAGCAAAATATTTGGTAAACAGCAAACAAAAAGACAGAGTTCTAGGACTTACTTCTAGCTTAACAGTATCGGGATGTGGAAGTAAATACATTCTTTCTTGCAGCTTTTTTTCTGCTGCTTCTATGTCCTAAAACACAGGCAAAGCACATTTTAAAAACACAGCGGGAATATTAAAAGGAAAATATACTCACATGAAGACATTTAGATTAATTAAGTTAACTCATTAAACCTAAACAGTACTCAAATAACAACACTGGAGGTTCAAAACTTTCTCTGCAGCCATTCTGGAATCTAACTTGTAAGATTAGGAACCTACAGTTTCTAAATGCTTACTGTAACTTTCTGATAAAAGAACAAATGTTTTACCACATAGGTTTGTTGCTGTAAAGCACTGCTGTTCTGTTTGAACGCTAAAGTAAATTACAATTAAATTCCATTCTCTATGATTTACAGCAATGAAGAATAGAATGGTTTGTTCTGTGCTGCATGAAAACTGAAGTATGTATTCTAGCTACTGTAACTGTAAAGTAACTAGGCAAATTATGTGCAAGATCTTTACTTCTCAAGACAAAGATGACTTGCTAATATGCATGCATAACATGTGCACAAAAATGTAGAGCTGCAGCAAGCTGTTCACCAGACAAACTTGGATGACAATGCACCTCACATAGCTTTCTTATAAAAATCAGTATTTGGGTTTCTGCTTGCCCAGTGGATGTGTGCTGGATTCACAAAGACCTAAATAAATTTTAAAAACAGAAACAGCAGTGACAAACAAATAAAACCCATCACCCCAAATTAGCCCCCTTCCCCCTTAAAGTTCTGACCCATTCTTGTGGGCTTAGTTCCATACCCAAACATTGAAGAGATTGAGTGGTGGGCAGATGAAGAGAGACAGAAAGGGACGTGGGAGTGGGGTGTGAAGAAGCCAAAGCTGAACAGAGTGGAGGGGGAAAGAAAGTGTAGCAGATGGCAGAGTTGGGAGCAGAGAGCGGGTGTGAAGAGTACAACAGAAAAACTAAATGAGAGAGGAAATTCCCCAAAGGGACTTCCCAAATATTCACCACCACTGCTGCTGAAAAGAAGAGTGAGATTCTGGAGAAGCATATCCTCAAGGGAGACCAAACATGATTACTCGTGTTGAATAATAGCCAATACGAATACATCAAAAATAAACAGTGCTCAACTTCAGTTTAGTTTGAGAAACATGGCTCAAATTCAGCTGGTATGGTTAATAAAAACAGAAACCTGTTAGCTCAAGTTCAACTTAGTAACACACTCAGTTCATTCACTCTACAGCGTTCATCTTATTCTATTTCATTAAACCCTTTTACACCATGACTAAATTCTCTTGCACATTCTTAGAAATCTAAGTAAAAGTCCCCTTTTGTACAGGGGAGTTTACAACCTTGGAGAAGCTAAGGGACATTTAAGAACAAACTTAGATCTTGGATTTATCCAAATCCCAGAAGCAGCAAGTGGCTGCCTCTTGTCAGGTGAGAAAAGAGAATAAACACACAGAGGGAACGTAAGCAAAACCAGAAGCCACCTGAAGTCACAATGCCAATAAAAACAATAGAAGACATAAAAGAATTCACTAAAACTAAGTATGGACTTTGTTGCATGTGCTTAGAACAGACCATCAATTGCACTGAATGAAGCTCATCTCAGTATGGATCTGATGAAGGCTGGAGAAGATATCACATCCAGAAGTATCAAGCACTAAAGTTTGTTTCATGTTCTCCCACAGGATTTCTCCCCTTCCTAAAGGAATTTTCACAGGAAGGAAGAGCATCAAAAAATCATTTCTTTAGCTATTCAGTTAAGGGCATCAGAATGTTTATGGTCATTGGAAATTTATGTATTCCAAGCAAAAAAAGGAGAGAGCAGTTGTGCATATATGTTTAGTGGAGAAGGTCACTTTGGCATAGCCTAGATATTGGATGTGTCTTTTTGTTGCTCACTCGAGTTTGTGTTGTGCAGTCTATTGTCAGAATACTGATTTAATGACAGACAGTGAACAAAATTTTTGCTGGAAGGTGTAGTATGCTTTAGAAAAATAACTAAGATTAGATGGCATTTCTTTCATGTCTATGCAACCGGCGAACTTTGCAGGGAAGAGGAATCTCCATCTTCAATATAAAAATAAATACATTGGTTTAAGTTTCTTTGGAAAAAAAAAATAGCAACAAATTTAATATGTCACAATATAGAGGAAAAAAAAAAAAAAAAAAAAAAAAAAGAGAGCATCTTGCAGCACTTTCCCCTGAAACTACAAGGATTGGAACAAAAACAATTCAAGACCCTTCCCCAGAGGTAAAATGGAATGCATGACAAACACGTCGCTGTTAGGGGACCAAATTCAACTGTCACTTATATTGATAAGAGCCTGGCAGAATCCCACCTCAGTAATTCTGCAATTACATGCCCGTACAGGAAATCAAACTCAGTCTAAATTACTTACATAGTCAGTACTAAAAATTGAAGAGCATATTCCCTATTTTCTATTTCATGATATAAGATGCTGCACCAAAATAACAACAGAACTGATAAACCAGAAATGTTACTGACAAACAAGTCTCATAAATTAGATTGTAAATACTGGTCTAATTTCTGCTTTTGTTATGAAAACATTATATAAGCACCAGATGATACAGATTTCTCTAATCTGCAGTATCCCTCTAAAGACATTAAGGGAAATACTCTGACAATTATGTTAAAATGCTGAACAAGTGCTTATAATGCTAAAATTTCAATTAAAAAAAGATGTTTAGTTCCCTGCTTCCTGCTGATTAGAAAATAAATTGATCTTGAAATGCTTTCCTGTGCATAAATATCAACTAGCACTGAGAAAGAAAAATGTCTCTTCCTATGATCACATATTGAAAACTGATTTTGCTTACATGCAGAAAAACAGAAATGCAAATAAAAAAATAACACTTCATCATGTCCGTGTATTTTTTAGTAGGCCAAATCAACAACTCTCCACATGGTAACTGTGAAATGTACAGTGCCTGGTATCAGGAACAATATTCTGAAGCTGGCACATTAATCAGTCTTGTTTTCAAGCGTCTCATGTATTATTCTGCAGAGATTTTTTTGTTCTTTTCTATTCTGTTATCAGAAAGCATCTGCAGGAGTGCACGTCTGTTAAAATCAGTATAAAATAAATAGATTTAAACTGATTTATGCTACTTTATCCTGCCACAGAATTTGTTTTGATACATATGTTTTTGCTTTTTTTTTTTTGTACAAACACCAACATTTTTGACACTTGAAAGGAACAATTTTGAGGATGTGACAGAAGATGGCAAATATCTGTGTAGCTGCAAAAATATTTACACTCTGTATATGTCTAAGTTATTGTTAACATTTCCAATACAACAAGTTTTCAGAAAATATATCCTGCATTTCTTATGCTTGCTTGTGTACATTAGCTGAGAATGCACTGGTAAAATAAAGATCATTTATAAAAAAAAGACAACTAGCAATATGAAAAATAGATCTACGGTAATTATAAAATGGGAGTCGTAACAGATGAAATTACTAAAGCAGAGGAAAAGGAACTATGATGCAAGAAAATAAACAACTCATCCCTTTCTATCAACCTCACACTGAAGCACCTACACAGTCCATGCCCACTGCAGAGGCATTTGATTGCCCCAGCCCAGCATGCAGCAGCTGACTGGAGTCTGAGTTGAAGTCCTCCCTCATCACACAGTATTTAAGAAGGCATCACACATTAACTGTTCTGCCTTAACTGCCACTCCCTAAATATAGCTTCCATTAAAATTCAAAGAGAGCTTGCTTCAGAATCATACCCACCTAAAACGCGAATGTTTTTAAACCTTGTTCAGGTTCTGCATGAAGAAGCAAAAAAACATTTGATGGTAAAATAAAACTTTTAATTTTCTAGAGTAAAACTTATAATTTCAAAAGATTCAATACACACTATATGGGATCTTAATAACTAAGAGTTGAAGAAAATGCCTGTGAGAAGCAGATGACCATTTTTCAAATGCATGCTCATGTCAGTGGTCAAGTGCCATCTCGTCAAACTCAGATGCCTAAGCTAAAGCTCAATTAGAAATTCTAGCATTCTAGTCCCCAACATCAAACTCAGATCTTCATTTCCAGTTCTCAAACATCCACTTAACTAACCTAGAAAACATAAACTGTACCCAAACATGACAACAGATATGTAGAACAGCTATTAACATTAACAGTATCACCACTGAGAAGAACCAGAAAGACCAAGCATTGATTTTACAATACTTGCAAGTAATATTCTTGAAGTCATTCTACCTCTCCTTAAAGAAAAATAACTGAGGACTTCTTCCGTAATTTCACACAATCACAGCTGGACAACAGTTCCTACCCTGGACTAAAAGCATCTTAACCTGGGCAGCACCCATTTCCAAACATACTCCCAACTCTTGAATCAAAGTGTTAAGGTCTTGGAGTCTAGTTACACTGAGGCTGTCTTAGGCAGAATGTAATAGCACGTGTTGCATCTCTGCAAATACTTCAGGAAAAAAAAAAAAAAGAGAGAGACAGCAGCTGCCACCACAAGGCTCAAATAAGAAGGGCATGTAAAATAGGTAGTAGTGCCATCCGATAATAGAGACTTGCCATTTGATACTTTTGGTCAAGTTCCAGAAGAGAAAAGAGAATATAGGAGAACTCCAGTGATAGCAACAGAGCAAACATTTTTTAAAAATTATCTTAGCTGCATAATCATGACATTTCAACTCAGTTCCTGGTAGTTGCAGAAACTTACATTTAAAAGTGCTGCATTCCTTCTACGAGCTGCATCAGCTGCTTGAGTTTGCCATGTCTTTTTAGTCTTTTTGTCTCCTAGATAAGTCTCCATCTGCTGTAGCAGCGCTGATCTCTGAGACAGTCTACAAAGGAAAACATTTTGCTAAGTGGGTAGAACATTTTGCTCAGGAGCTAGAAAATAACCTTTTTACCTTACCCAGTTTTCTCAAAACCATGGGGCTAATTAAGCCGGCTGTAGGGTGGGTGTGCTGGGGGAGGGAAAAGGTACAGGCAGACACCACCTGCTGTGCTTGTACGAAGCTATAATATTGCTACCAACAGTCCTCATATGCTAAGGTGCTTAGAAGCACTGAATCTCCCAGAAGAGGAGAGACAGGGTGGGCTGAGGTGACTCGATCAGTACTACTCCTGCGCACCGGCAAGTTGTTATAACTAGCTGTTATAAGAAAAGCAGAGTTTCCTGACTATTACTGTATTTGCTTCACAACCTTAGTTTAAGGGGTGAAAAAGATGCAGCTCAATAACTGAGGCGCAGAGTGACAATGCAAATACCTTTCCCACAAAGGAGCTCAATGGTGACAGGAGGTTAACAATGGAGATCTTAAACCAGTACCACCATCACAAGTCAAAAACCTCATCAGTCTAAATACTCTCACCAGCAATGACACTAATTCCAGCAGTTCATGAAGGAAGAGTGCCACCTCCTGGATCACTGGCCCCTCAGTAAAATACTACCGTGCACTCTAAAGGTCTGATTAACTGTTCAAAGGATGGAAACGCGAGACCCCTCTGGACCACAGCACAAACTGCTGTGGGGCAGGCCCAGCCACTGAGGAAGTCACTTACATCTCCTCGTGTCTCCTAGCCAGATGAACTTCCTGAGCCAAATAGGACGACATCTTCTGTTGTTTGTCCAGGTTTTGTCACTGTCTTAAAGCAAAACCAAGTGAAATTAGAGTCCTCCAAAGGCATGCACAAACGCTTGCTTTTCAGTAGCAAAGCATTCCAAGTTAACAGTTGCATACATTACATTTATATAATTTATCAGCCATGTAAATAAAACTCACTTATAAATTTTAATAGCATAAGACATTGTTACATTGTGGTTTGAACACAAAAATACGCACCACAAGTGTCTACAATACACATTAGGAAAACCTTACTGAATTCTAACATTTCTACTTGGGAACTAAAATTTGACTTCTAACCTTCAGATTTCATAAAGCTTTCTCAAACAACACCTGCTTACAGCCACCACACACAAAGGCCCTCAGAGGTCCCTTCCAACTCTAAGGATTCTATGACTCTGTCACGTGCTCACATAGTTTGTGTATCACTGTTCACAGCAGTGATTTCGGGCTTCATGGTGGTACTATATGAGTACAAAGTTGCAATTGGAGTTCACACTATGCCTCAAAGTGCCTCCTGTGAAATATCACAGAATGAAAGGGACCTTGGAGGACCATCGATTCCAACCCCCCTCCTAAAGCAGGTTCTCTAGATGAGGTTACAGATACACAGGTAAATACAGGCATGATTAACAACTGAAGTCAGTGAACCAGCTTAAATTTCGAGCCCTTGAAAGAATTAGCTCTTCAGTAAAGTAACAGGAGATAACTGAACAGGGGGTTACGTGCACACCTTGATGGCTCTGGGGTTCTTTTAGCTGTGGTGGGATCAGGTGCCCACTGCCCACATCGCGGCCCCCAGCACTACTCAGAAGCTTGGAGGCGTTTTGCAGTCAATTAGTCCTTTCCACCTCAGAAGCGCATTACTGTCCCAAAAATCAGCCTCAACACCATAAACTGTCACATGAAAGGCGGGAGAAATAAAACGCCAGGCAGTCAGAACACCTACGAGGGCACGTCCGAGACCACTCCTAACTCTGAAGCAGGACACACGTGACTTCGGCAGAAACTGATGTGTTCTACCTCACCCAGCAGACTCCCCGCCCTTCCGCTCTGTTTCCAGCGCTTCCCTTTCCCCTCAGGAGGTCCCCATCACCTCCGTGCTCTCTTCCTAAAAAACCTCGTTTACCTTCAGCCTTTGCGGCTTGCAAAAGCAAAGCCACCTCTCACCGTGGCCTCCGCGACGCCGCCGCCTCCCCCCTGCTGGCTGCCATGGAGACGGCCGGAAGGGCGGGGTTTACCCACCAGCTCGCTATGGCCGCGTCGCGCCTCCGCGCTCAGGCCTGCTCCCTCAGCTCTGATTGGAGGGATGGGAGGAAGCAAGAGCCAATCAGAACCGGGGGCGGGCAGAGGGGCGTCTCGCGCAGTGACCGTTACCCCTCAGAAGGCGTGGAGGCGCCTCAGGGTGTGTTTGTGTGCGAGTTTCTCCTGCGCGTTTGGCGATGGTTTGGGCTTTGCGTTCTAAGCCTCTGAGCGCTACTGAGGCTGATTCCTTCAGACTTCCGTTAAAACACATTTCTTTAAGGGGCACAATTAACCCACTTTTTGTGTTTTGCCCTTGCAGAAAACACGAGCCGGGAAACTGTATGTCAAATACCATATGGCTGTTCAATACAACTCCCATTTTCTTCATTTTTTTCCCCACTGTTGTCTGACAAATTTAAGCGCACTGACGGTGCAGGTGGTTTCTAAAAGAGTTCATTTCCGCAATGCAAACATTCTCTTTTTCTATTAGGAGACTTCAGCAGGAACCTGTCCCACTGCTGACCAGGTTTTCCTTGTGATTCCTCAGTTCCTTCTCTTTTCCCTCCTTACTACAGCATGCGGGATAAATAGTCCATAAAATCTTCATTTTACTTGGAACGCCATTTCCACGTTCTACTGAGCTACACCAGTTATCCTTAATGGCAGCAATCTCTCCCTTTTTATTTTTTTCGGTAGCATGGTAGCATTTGATGAATTCCATAAAGAGTGGGCACAAATTGAACTTTGTCTTATGTAAACCACTGCATATGTCATTTGTAGACAGAAAGCAAAGAACAAGAACGTTTTTGTTAAGCTGCAGGTACTGTCAGTTGTTCAGTGTTGTGGGAGCAGAGGATGGAAAACATAACTTCTTAATGACCTCTTTATATGACAGTGGGATGGAACAATATGTCAATAGCTAATGAGCTATAAACTATGGTTTTGGTTTTTTTTTTTTTTTCATCAGAAATATAGCCTAACCTAGTTTAGTTCCCAACTTGTCAAGAACACAAGTTCTAAACTTCCTTTAAAAAAGAAATCTGGCACTAACATTCAAAAATCCCCATAGCAGGCTGCTTTGAATAGCTGGTTCCTTGTATTGCAAGGCAGCCACAATGAAAGCCTCGAAGGGCATTGCAGAAATGGGAATTTATGAATGGGGTGGACTTACATGACGAAAGACATTCTCTTGGTGGTTGGCAACCCTGCACATAGCGGGGGGGTTGAAACTAGATGATCATTGTGGTCCTTCTCAACCCAGGCCTGTCTATGATTCTGTGATTCTTGCAGACCTCAGTGTGCTGGCACCTAACTGAAATGTGCTCTGTAGATTATTATGCTTCCATCCCTCTCCGTTTCCAATTACACGGGGCATTTTACATAATCTGGTAAATTTCTTTAAATTTCTTTTAGTAAAAGTACA